GCGCGACTTGCTTCGAGAAGAGGAGCTCGACGAAGCTGCAAGGATCACCGACGCGTGGATGTAAGCTACGAGATGGCTGCGCGAACAGGCGCAAGTGCCGGTGTTTCCGATGTGGCGGCGATGATGGTGGTGGCGATGATGGTGGTGGCGAGCCACGATGCTCAGCGTCAAGCGTCGTGGACAAAGTAAAGGCTTGTGGGCACTCGAGTGCGGAGGCAAGGAAGCGCGCCGCTCCCACGGGACACCTATTCGAACTCGGCACGGATGCGAGAAGAAGCGTTGGTGGGTTTCGGGAGCGACTCCGACACTACTGAATTGGATCGGCAAAGGGCAGATGACCTGCCTGCGGAACAGTCAGGAGGTGAATTGTCGGTAAAGCATGCAGGTCACAGCAGTTTGGCGGAGCCGTGTAGCAGGTCGAGGATCAGCGTCAAGAGCAAAGGTGCTCGTGCAAAGTGCAGCAGCCATGCAAGGCTAACGCTGCCTGTGCAGGCAAAGGGTCGAGCCGGAACAATTTCACGGGCGGATGCGCTTTCGGCGGTTTGGCGCTGCGTTGCTGCAGGTCCGAGACGCGAAGGCGCGAGCGATTTTTCGGCCATCCGACCGCGTCGCCGCTGCGAACCCTTTTCTGCAGGAGGCCAGCAGGTGCAGATTTCACCTGGTTGCTCGCATGGCAGCTCGGGTGCAGCGTTGCTCCTTCCGCAGCGACGTTGGGGCGGCTCTCGGCATCGTTAGAGCTCCGCACGACAGATCCACCATCGGATCTGACGTGGGCGAGCGATATCTGCCTTTGACTGTGTTGGAGTGTCCGTCCCTCGACCTTGACACGATCACGCACTGACTGGCGGCTTCTTGTCGTCGGTCACATCCGTGTCGGGCGATCCGATTCTATGGACAACTCTCTCGCCGCGGCACGAACGGCTCGACGACCGCGGCCATCGGGAATACGGGCGTGTACGCCGAAAAAATCGTTGACAGGTTGCGGCTCAGATAGCGAGATGCTGCAGCACACTCGGACACGTTGGCTTGGGCGAGTGCTTCCGAACAGCGTTCAGCCGAAGCCCGCCCTTGGCTTGTCGAGGTGTTCTTGTTTACTTTTTTCCCAGGCTTGCCGCTGTACTTTCACATCCGAACGAGATTGTCTCGGATGCCCCGACGCACCGGATTTGACCCTTTGACCACGCTTCATGTCCACGGTCCGCGTTCGGCCCGATGTCGGCATTTACCATGCAGCACGCCACTCGGAAGCTTCCGCGTTCGAGTCGCGGCTCGGCCATCACATGGCCGTGTCGGATGGCATCCGTCCGCGTGAGATTCGACCAACTTCCTGCGTCGGGGTCTGTGCCGTTCCTGCGTCAGATCGTTTTGCGCATTACAATACACTCGTTGCGCTCGGACATCAATCTCCGCTTCCGTCATTTGCATCTCCGGGCCTCGTCTGCACACGCTCTTACACAGGCCGCAAAATGTTTGCTCGAATGCCCCTTGCTTTGCATTTGAAACGGTTCGCTCCGCTCGACCCTTCCCGAGGGTCGCGGATGTCATCCACATGGCTTCAGCCACTTGTACATGAGGGTGGGGAATGGAGGGAGGGGGG